TACGTCATTTGGTAAGCTCCTAAGTGTCCTGTGGGTGGGTGGGTGAAGGAGTGGGTGGGTGGAGGGGAGGGGAAGGGAGGGGTGGGTGGGTGGGGAAGGGAGGGGTGGAGGGAGGAGGGAGGGAGGGAGGGGAAGGGAGGATGGGTGGGTGGGGAGGGGGGAGGGGAAGAGGAGGGGTGGAGGGAGGAGGGAGGGAGGGGGTGGGTGGTAATGCAGAAGTGGTGGTGATAAGAGGAGAAAGAGAAAGGGGAACAGAAAGAGAAAGAGAACAGGAAAACGCGAGGAAGGGGATAAGCAGAGAATGGAAGAGGAGAAGGAAGGGAGGGGACGGAGGGAGGAAGGGGGGGGGGTTATATGAGTGTGTGAGGGTAGCAGGTAGAACCAGCAGTTTACACCTGTGCTGGAGTAGTTCGCCTCGAGGCTGTGTTCCTCCAGTATAACTCCGTCGACCATTATAGCGAGATATTAAGCGACCATCAGACGTTAATATTATAAACACGAGTGATGAAAAGTGAACTGGACGACTGTAGGGGTGTTGTGGGGTGTGGAAGAGGTGGTGTGGGGTGTGGAGAGGTGTTGTGGGGTGTGGAGAAGTGTCGCGAGGTGTGGAGGTGGTGTATGCAGGTGTATTGCTGTGGTATAGTGAAGAGTCGTTTATCGTCACTAGAAAGATGTTAGTGGTTTTTAACGACACCTAACTACGCCAGATAGGAAAATGTTCACCTGGGGGAGTGTAGTAAGGTGTAATCAAAGATGTATTGCCAGCCCTCCTGACGACAGCAAATGTGTTGGGTGTGTGTAGGGGTAGGGAGGGGGTATTCCTGCTGGTGGTAGTTATGATGGTGGTGGGGGTCACCTGTGTATTATGATGCTGTGAGTGGTAGAGTGAAGGTGTGGTTAAACTGCCAGTGAGTGCCAGTGGTTGACGTTGCCACAAATGATGAGTCACCCTCACACAAAGTAGAGGAAAGGAACATATTTACTGATGAACAAGAAAATTGACAAAAAATTATGATAAAAATACTTACTTTTGTGTTGATGAAGAAAAGTGACGAGTAATTTGGTGATGAAAATGGTGGTGATGATAATCTAGTGGTGTAAACAGTGGTGTAAACAGTGGTGTAAACAAAGGTGAAAATGGGTTGATAAATCAGGAAAAAGAAGGAAAAAAATAAACTTTTTGGTTAGGTTAGGTTAGGTTAGGTTACATTAATCAAGTCTAACATAACTTTAGGTTTAATATGGAAAATATGAACACTTTGACAATGTAACTATCACCTTAATATTACCCCCCATAACATAACCTCCCCTCCCCTAACCTCCTCCTCCCTCACCTAACCTCCCTCCCTCACCCACGTCCCCTCACCACGTCCCCCACCCCACCTCACCCTCACCTCACCTCACCTCACCACCTCCTCCCCCACCCTTCACCCAACCCCTCACCCAACCCCTCACCCCACACCACCCCACCCAACCTCACCCAACCTCCCTCACCTCCCTCACCTCACCTCACCTCACCTAACCTCCCTCACCTCACCCACCTCACCTCCCCACCCCACCTCCCCTCACCTCACCTAACCTCACCTAACCTCCCTCACCTCACCTCACCTCACCCAACCTCCCTCACCTCACCTCACCTCCCCCACCTCACCTAACCTCCCACCTCCCTCACCTCACCTCCTCCCCCACCACCTAACCTCACCTTAACCTCACCTAACCTCCCCCTCACCCCACCACCTAACCCTCCCTCACTCAACTCACCTACACCTCACCCAACCAGCTGAAATTAGAAGAAAATCCCTCCTTAAAATCTAGATGATGTTGAGGATTCCAACCCTCGTTCCTACTCCACCTACTCACTCTAATTACCTGCGTTAACCCCGGCACGAGGCCAAATAGACTTGGGTCTTCATTAAATTGTCTCATGGGGAAAGAGAGAGAGAGAGAGAGAGAGAGAGAGAGAGAGAGAGAGAGAGAGAGAGAGAGGCGGAAATGGAATTGATGTTGGAGCAAATTAACACAGACAGACAGACAGGTAGATACACCCACCCCACACACACACACACACACACACACACACACACACCCCTACACCCCCACACACAGTGAATCTTATATCCAGGTGTGACCTTGTGTATGTGGCCCAGGTGAACACTGGATCACCTGTTGATGTACACACACCTGTTGATGTGCACACACCTGTTGATGTACACACACCTGTTGATGTACACACACCTGTTGGTGTACACAAAGGATCTCTCTCTCTCTAATGTGGCTGTGTGCAAGACGGACGCACACACACACACACACACACACACACACACACACACACACACACACACACACACACACACACACACACAACTACTCACCTCCCTTAGGATCTCCGCCCCCAAAAAATCGACCAATCAGCTTTCTTGATGGGGGGAAACACCACTCATCAACGGGCCAATTAGAACCAAGATATCGCAGCTTTCATCCAGTCATTATTAACGTTGTGGAATTTTACTCTTAGGTGGAAGGGAGGAGACAGACAGACAGACAGACAGACAGACAGAGAAAGAAAGTGAGTGAGAGATAGAGAGATAGAGAGAGAGCGAGATATAAGCTCTAAAACAAAAGACAATAAATAATAAAAGAAATAACCTGAGCTGACCAATGAGGGAGGAGGAAGAGGGGAATAATGGGAATGGGTAGGAAGGAGTAGGGTGGTGGCCTGAGAGAGGGGGAAGGGGAGGGAGGGAGGAGGGAGAGGATTTTTAGTCTGCGCTTGTTTTGGTTTGTATTACGTGTCTATGAATATTGAGAGAGGATCATGATGGAGGGAGATAGAGAGGTGGAGGAGAGTGAGAGGGAATTGTTAGGCGGGGGAGGGGTGGAGAGAGAAGGAGGGAGGAGGGAGTGAGAGGGAGGGGGAGTGAGAGAGGAGCAGGGGGTGGAGAGAGAGGGAGTGAGAGAGGGAGGGGAGTGAGAAGAGAGGGGTGGAGGAGAGAAAGAGAGGGAGGGTAAGAGAGGGAAGGGGAGTAGAGAGAGTGAGAGAGGGGGAGGGAGAGAGGGGGGTAGGCGGGGGGAGGGGTGGAGAGAGAGAGTTGAAACCTTATTAAAGCATCTGGTCGATTGACTGAGGTGGCAGGACAAGGAGCTTAACCTAACCTAACCTAACCTAACTTAACTTAACTTAACTTTAACCTTACATAACTTAACTTTAACCTAACCTAACTTAACTTTAACCTAACATTAACCTAACCTAACTTAACTTTAACCTAACATTAACCTAACCTAACTTAACTTTAACCTAACTTTAACCTAACTTAACTTTAACCTAACCTAACCTAACCGTGGGTAGCTCCAGCCTAGCATGTTATTACCCCGGCCTGCCTCCATAAACCCCTGTGAACGACGTTTATACGAGAGGTGACGACAACGCCGCCTATAACCATGTGAGAAGCTTATTGACGCAATATACGCACCTCACTGAGAAGCGACACCTCCCCTCACTTGACGCAAACGATACCCTAAAACGACATCTCTATGGACGCAATATACGCAGTCTATAATTCAGTGAGAGGAACTTATTGACGCAATATTGACGCATCTCGTAACAAAACACTGCGTCTCCATTCATACAATTTACGCAACGTATAACAACAGGTGATAGCTTCATTGACGCACTTTACGCAAATAGTTCCCCAAAATGGAGAGAGAGAGAGAGAGAGCAGTCGAGAATAGAACGGGATACCCTATTCACGGCGCCTCTGTGTGTGTGATGGTATTGGCAGCCTCTACACCCTGGGAGAACTCCAAATTGTCCTGGGCCACACAATATTGCGACAGTTTACCATTGATCTACAAGTTTATTTGAGTTATCCCTTAGAATGTTTTTTTTTTTCTATTGTTGACAGGTATTGTGGTGCCATGACGACCCCCCGGCGTTACCACCCCTTCCTCTTCCCTCTACTCCCCCTTCCCCCTCCTCCTCCCTCTTCCTCCTCCCTCCTCCCCCTCCTCACCTCCCCTCTCTCCCCCCCCTCCTCCTCCCTCCCCCCCCTCCTTCTTCCCCCCCCTCCTCTTTCCCCTCCTCTTTCCCCCTCCTCCCCTCCTCCTCCCCCTCCTCCTCCTCCTCCTCCTCCTCCTCCTCCCCCCTCCTCCTCCCCTCCTCTCCTCCTCCCTCCTATTCTTCCTCCTCCTTCCACCTTGTCCTCCCCTCTTCCACCTTGTCTCCCTCTTCCACCTTGTCCTCCCTCTTCCACCTTGTCCTCTCCCTCATTTCCTCACACGTCCTCCCACTCGGACTTGTCACTCTTCTCGTTATCTCTCCCTTTCCTGCCTCCCTTTCCACCTTCCTCACCCTCTCATCTTCCTTCCTTCTCTCTCCTTCCCCTTTTCCTCTGCTTCCCTCAATGTCTACTCTCCCGTCTTTTTCCTCCCTCCACCCTCCTTCCCTCACCCTCTGCAACTCCTCCCCCCTCGCCCTACCCCTCCCTCCCCCTCCCCTCCCCTTCCCAAAACGACATACTTGACAAAAGTGTTGAAAGTAATGACCACTTGAAATTAAGTCAATTGCCATTAAATAACCGGGCCATTTAGCAGGTAGGTTAGATTAGGTTAGGTTAGATTAGGTTAGGTTAGGTTAGGTTAGGTTAGGTTAGGTTAATGTTGAATTTCCTTACTTCTCGTCTGTCGCTGCCTTCGTTGAGAGTCAATAATTTGCGTTTATTATTATTATAGGCAGTAGTATTACGTTTATAACTAAATTCCATATATGATGTAAAAAAAAATCCATTTCGTTTATTTTCTGTAGATTTAATAATTATATAACACTTATTGATGGCCCAGAACACAGCCACTAGTGAGAGATGAGTCACACCCACACACGTGTTAGCTGTGCAGTATTTACCATATTAAACCGTTAAATATCCACATAGGTAAACAGTGCTTAGTCTTGGAAGTCTTGTGTGTGTGTGGTGAGTGTAAACTGTGATGTGGTGAGTGAGTGTAAACTGTGATGTGGTGAGTGAGTGTAAACTGTGATGTGGTGAAGTGAACTTATATATAATAGTGTAAGCTGCGTGTTGGAGGTGGTACTCAGAAGTGTCCTACAACTTGGAGTGTCAGCTGAGTGTTGAGAAGGTCCGGTAACGAGGAGGAGGAAGCAACACACAAACAGTCACTACAGGGAAACTTTTTAAAAATTTCTCCTCTCAAGTACGACGGACAAAAGTTTAACTGGGGGTCTTGGAGAAAGTTTTGGTAGTGTGTTGCATGTGTGGATGTTGTGTTGCCTTCCACCTCTTGTTGCCGAGGTGTTGAGGGCAGCACCAGGTAGCAGCACAATCGCTCCTCAGGAAAGTATCTGAAGGAGGAAAAAGAATCCTTCAGGAAGTGGTGGTCAGAGTAGCCCCGACGAGATCCCGGTCTCTACCCCAGAGATGGAGACCTTCCCTGACCAGCGGCCCTCGTCAGCTTCACAGACCACCGGAGCGGAGGAGGCAGAGCCATTGATCCCCGACGACTCTCAAGGTCAAGGTAATTTTTCTGCCAGTGACGACCACCACGACGACGACGCTGCAGGAAGAGTCGTCGCCAGCAACCCGAGGTTCGTCAGGTCCTTCAATAGGCGGATACGAACCCGCGAGCCGAAAGGGTTGAGGTACAAGACATTCTCAGGTGCCATTGACTTTAGACAGCCAGAATTTAGAGAGAGAGAAGAGGAAGACAGCAACAGCCAAGAACGAAGGAGGAGCGAGTCACAAGCAACAGTCGACAACACAGAGAACCTTACACACGGCGGCAGGGTGAGGACTGTGTGTGTTGTAGACGGGAACGACAATGACTGTGAGGTCCTCTGCTCCCCGGGGTCCGACGAGGTCTTCTGGGACCCCGACACCTCCCTGGATACCCGCCTACTGGAGTCAACGTCGATCTTTTATGATACTTCCTCCTGTGTCCAGAAACCAACTCTGAGTCTCGTTACTGAGGCAGAACAACACAAGGACGGGGAGAAGGACTCCACGTCGATGGTACCCGGAGATGACTGTGTCGACGCTGACTATTCGAAGCCGAAAGACCATGGTGGAGGATTGTCATTCTTCTCTCGCCTGAGTAAGAGCGTCTCCCTCAAGAGAAAATACGGCAAGTCCTACGGCAAACCATACACGGTCCCTATCAGTGATGAGAAACATGAGAGAGATACACCAGTAGCTAAGGAGAACCTGGAGAGTATCCTGGAGAACTCTCAGGAGAAGAACAAAGAGAACTCCCCCAAGAACCAGCAGTCTCGGTTCTTCTTCCCAGCGTCGGATTGGTTGACGGGCGACACAGTGCTCCAACACATGTCTCTTGAACCTCCAGGTGACAGTGGGTCTGGTGAGGCCCTCAGTCCAGGGGCTCAGCGGGATGTTGACACTTCTCCCACCAGGACGGAGGAAACTGCAGAAGATGTAACAAAACTGGAGCAGTTTGTCAGTCTCTCTCGGAACGAAAAAGCGACCTCCTCTCTGGTGTGTATAAACTCCCCCCCGCCTCCCAGAACGAAGAAACCCACACCTGTTCCTCTCACTATCCAGAACAAGTTACCTGAAGGGGACCAGGAGTTAGGTAGTGCTAGTGATCCTCCAGGTGTCGAGTCCTCAGGTGAGAGACGTGAGTCAGCTGGCTTGTCAATAACTCATCAGATTTTTAGTCCAGTACGATCTAAAGGTGTAAGTAATACCTTCTACAATCTTTGGCCGACGGTCTTTCCCAGCCCAGCCAGTGATGCAAAGCCTCTGGCTGATCAAACTGTCAGTAGGAAATCCAGTTCAGAAATAAACAGTCAGAGTGACACCAGTCAACAGTCAAGCCCCCGGTCGGTGTCGTCAGCGAAGCCACAAGAGGACAAGTTTCCTGGAGGTGTTGGGAAGACATGTGAAAATGTTTGTCTCATTCAGCAGTCAAAAGTCGCCAGCCATCAGCGGCCACAACCCCTCGACCACAGCACGTTATCACAGCAGACTGTCAGCAGCAGGACACCAAGCAAGGTCGGCCAGGTAGAAGGAAACACACCGAAGAAGAGTAAGTTTCGCCCATCTTTCGTCTTCAACACCGAGAACACCTCAAAGAAAGGCGAGGCTGAGAGAGCATCCATGAAGGAGAAGACACAGAAGAAGGAGAAGATAACTGGCGAGAGGAAGGCGACTGAGGCCAAGGCTTGTTTAGTCTCCAACAGGCTCAGGAGAGTTGGAGCAATCAAGATGTGTGAAGATTTCCAGCACCTTCTGCCCGACGACAGTCACGTCTCGCTCACGAGTGTGTTCACCATCACTGACCACAACATGGCCACCCCGCCAGACCAGCAGGACAAGAGGCCTGGTCTGGACCCCAATTCCGGTATTAAAAAAGACTCGCACAACAAGAGGGCAGGTGTAGACTCCACCGCAAGTATACGGAATCTGTCCTCTACTGGAGCCATACCAAAGACGAGCAACTTAAACAAGACTCTTCAGGTGACGCTTAAAGACGTGACCAAACTCAAGGGTTCCAGTGAGGTCAAAGTCTCAGAACTAGAAAACAATAATACTGAACAAGAACGTCAGGAGCCGCCAGAAACAAAGAAGGGTCAAGGAAAACACTCCAGGAAGCGCGGGAAGCGATCAATGGAAAGATCTATATCTGTGCCTTTCTGGACCAAGTTCTGCTCTCAGGACAGCAGTGGTCCAGGTACTGACAGTGTTGCTAGTTCAGATAAGAAACTCACAAACGGCGAGAAAGTGACGACTGAAGACTCAAAAGACGAGGCTGGAAAGATTAAGTCATCGCCCGTCAGAGGTGATCGTCAGCAGACCAAGTCATCACACAAGAGAGCCAGATCACAGGACCTGACTAAGACCTTCAAGGACGAGCTGTTCTCGTTAGCGGCTCCCGAGAGGTCCTCTTCTTACGGCAACATATCCAGGCTGAAGCAAGAGGTGTCATCCACGCTGGCTCCTGTCCACTTCCTCCCACTAGAGTCTCCGTCAGTGAGCAACACAGAGGACTCGGGAGTGTGGCAGAGGCACTTGAGCTGCAGCGACATTATTGAAATTGGGAAAGAAGCGCTCGAGTCTCCAAGGCTGACTCGAGCCTTTCGTGACTCCAAGATGATGAGCACCTCGGCCTTCTGCCTCACGAGCCACGCAGCCAAGAAGTCCTCTTCCACCAAAGGCTCCTCGCCACCTGCCCTTATTGGCGAGGATACATCTCATTCAGAAGGTTCCTTGCCCCCCTCGCCTTCAGGGCTCTCCACCAGGAAGTTGGGGTCGTCACAGCTACAGTACACGTCACCCTACGACCTGGTCACACAGGCCAGGGACAAACCTTACTACCAGCGCCTAATTAACGTCTTCCACATACAAGCTACGGTGAGTCCTTAACAATAAGTCCATGACAGTTCATTACAGTCCACGGTAAGTGCTTGGCAGGTCAGCTGACAGGCCGGGGCAGGTTAGCTGACAGGCCGGGACAGGTCAGCTGACAGGCCGGGACAGGTCAGCTGACAGGCCGGGACAGGTCAGCTGACAGGCCGGGACAGGTCAGCTGACAGGCCGGGGCAGGTCAGGTGACAGGCCGGGGCAGGTCAGCTGACAAGGTAGGGAACTCTATCACAGGCCCATGATAGTCTTGCTGATGAAACCGTCCCACTTAGTATTGACTGTAGTGAGTGGAGAACCGGGGCAGGTGACTGTTGGGTGACTGTAGTGAGTGGAGAACCGGGGCAGGTGACTGTAGTGAGTGGAGAACCAGGGGGGGGGGGGTGAGTGATTGTTAGAACCGTGGAAGACAGTCTACAGCACTGACTGTTAAATTTTGAAGACAGTTAATAGGTAAAAAAAATCAAGAGTGTTGGGTGTAGTGTATAAGGCAACAGTTAAAAAAAATGACTGACTGTATCATCTGAAGAAAGTAACTGTGTAAAGGTGTGTTTGTTACCTAACCACTCAACAGTTCAAAGCTCTAGCGTTTACAGCAGTGTATGAGAAACAGTCAGTAGGAGTGGACGTTAGAGAGAGCACAGTTAACAGTCAAGGGAGGTGACTGGCTGGCGGACCATCTCTTAAGGAACTATTGAAGATTTGGGTTGGTAGACTAACTGGCGGTGTGAGGGAGCTCTCTCTCTCTCTCCCTTTCTCTCTCTCTCTCTGACGCGCTCCTTTAATAATTCTCTAACTTAATAACAACTAAATCACATCTAATCTCCCGTCTTAACACACACACACTGTTTACCCGTATTACCAAGAAGCGAAACATTATCACCGGCAGAACTACATCTGAATTTCACTTCCCACGAAAGGGTTGCCAATTAGCGCTCTTTATTGCCTTGACGTCAGCGCCATCTCTTGGTTGAAAGGCGGAGTGTTTGGTCTTCATCAGCTGGTCGACGTATTGCTGTTGGAACACGTCAGCTATTATTATTGTTGTTGTTGTTGCTATTGTTTACTCGTGAGGGGGGGGAGGGGTCACGTGATCAGGGTGGTTAGTGTCTGTCTGTCTGTCTGTCTGACTGTCTATTTTTAGAACAGAAAGGGATAGTGTGTGTGCATGCCTGTTACACACACACACACACACCCTCTTATTCCCTAGAGTTATTGTGTAAGTTTACCATTCGTGTATGTGCCACGTACGTTTCCATGTATGTATCATGAAACACAATTTAACACGCGGACAAAACTCATATCTTATCGGGAAACTTGACTCGCCAAGTTTTTCTCGTAAGTCATTTCTCAGGACAAAGTTTTCCTCACAATTTGGTCACAAGTGGATTATTTAACTCTCTCTCCTCTCTCTCTCTCTCTCTCTCTCTCTCTCTCTCCTCTCTCTCTCTCGGTAATGGCTGTATAAACTTTGTGCTTCTTATTTACAATTTCTATGAGAACTTTTATTCCCAGGTGTGTGTGTGTGTGTGTGTGTGTGTGTGTGTGTGTGTGTGTGTGTGTGTGTGTGTGTGTGTGTGTGTGTGTGTGTGTGTGTGTCACTAGCAGGAGGTAAACACTATACTATTAAGAGGTAAACTTTTAATGGTGATGAGCTGAGGACAGACACATACTGTTGACATCTTGGCACTGAACCCCACAGCTTTCTGGGTGGCACACACGTCATGATGACCTTTCCCGCCGCCCCCCCTGTTGCTGCCCCCCCCTGGGGAAGGCTGAGGTCACGTTTAAAGATGAGATCGTTTCCTAATAATCTGTGTGTGTGTGTGTGTGTGTGTGTGTGTGTGTGTGTGTGTGTGTGTGTGTGTGTGTGTGTGTGTGTGTGTGTGTGTGTGTGTGTGTGTGTGTGTGTGTGTGTGTGTGTGTGTGTGTGTGTGTGTGTGTGTGTGTGTGTGTGTGTGTGTGTGTGTGTGTGTGTGTGTGTGTGTGTGTGTGTGTGTGTGTGTGTGTGTGTGTGTGTGTGTGTGTGTGTGTGTGTGTGTCTCTTCAAACCTACACTCTACCATTCATTCATGACCAGATAATACCCGCTGGATCGTAAGGTTTAACTCTATTATTTGATTCTTCTACTCCTGTCCTGCCCTACCCCTGCCCCTACTCCTTACTCCTACCTTAATTCACTTTGGTTCTACTCCACTTTGGTTCCCTACCCCACCCCACCTCTACCCCCACCCCTCTACCCTGCCTTCGTAGTATCATCATAGGGTTAACATCGCTCTACTTTACTGTTCATTCACAACAATTATATTCCTGGAGGTCAGAGGTCAACTTGAAGGGGAGACCCATCATATCATGTTTTATGTCCCTTTCATTGTGTGTGTGTGGGGGGGTTAAAGAGTAGATTCTTTTGTGCTAAATGATGCAATGTTTATTTCTCGTTAGTTATAGAATGTGGGTACTATACCAGTGTGTGTGTGTGTGTGTGTGTGTGTGTGTGTTGGGGGAGTTAAAGCACAGACTTCAGCCCATGCTTGTTCCTTTACGTGTAATTAACTCGTTGCAAATGAGATGGGTCTTAGGTTTAATAGACCCTCTGACCTGATCTGACCTGGATACACCCAGACTAACCTAACCTAACCTAACTTGAGACGTTTATATTTTTTCTCTTCGTTGTAATTGGGGTGAGGGACGTGTCCAAAAAAATATGAAGACAATTTCGACGTAGCTAACTGTTTCTCTTGTTCACTGTTGGTGTTATGTGAGTTAGGTTAGGTTTCATGGTTAGGTTAGGTTTGGTTTCATGGTTAGGTTAGGATTCATGGTTAGGTTTGGTTTCATGGTTAGGTTAGGATTCATGGTTAGGTTAGGTTTGGTTTCATGGTTAGGTTAGGATTCATGGTTAGGTTAGGTTAGGATTCATGGTTAGGTTAGGTTTCATGTTTAGGTTAGGTTTCATGGTTAGGTTAGGTTAGGTTTGGTTTCATGGTTAGGTTAGGTTAATTATGATATTTCTGTGGATTCTCAGTTAGAGGAAAAATATTTATCGTGTAATCTTTTGAGAATTCATTTGTGTTATGAGTCAATTATATACGTTGTCAGGTCCCCTTTTATGAGGTCATTTTCTTAACCTAACCTCACCTCACGTAACCTAACCTAGCGTGTCTTAATATAACCTAATCTAGCCGAACTTAACCTAACCCTTCCCTAACCTAACCCCACCACAAGTCAGGGTTCCGGCAGGACTGACCCTAAGAATCCTGATCACCAAATTAAATTAACTCGGTTTTCAATAGGAGGAGGGAGGGGGGGGGGGTAAAGGGGGGAGGTGAGAGGGAGGGGAGGTGAGGAGGGAGAGATTGGAAGAGGAGAGAGGGTGAAAGGAATCAATAAAGGCGATATAGATAAAGTTCTTATAATATCCGAGCAGGATAGGTCTCTCAGCAACGGATTCAAGTTGGATAAGTTTAGGTTTAGGAGGGAGATAGGAAGGAACTGGTTCACAAATAGGGTGGTGGACGAGTGGAACAAGCTTAGCAACTTTGTAGTAAGTGCGGGAACTCTGGAAAGTTTCAAAAGGAGGCTAGATAGATTCATGGATGATAGAGAGTGGTAGTAACTCTCGACAGGAGCTGCCATGCACAGACCAACCGGCCTATTGCAGACTCCTTATGTTGGTGGGAAGGGAATGGGATGGGGAGATTGTGCTGGGGAGGGAGAAGAGGGGAGAGGGGAGAGGGGAGAGGGTGACGTTTGGAGGGGAGAGGACACGCCTTGACCTAATCAATCTTGGCCGACAGCCGGTGACTGATAACATTGACCACACAGCCTTGCATATCCCGAGGGCGTTAGTCAGCTCGGGTCTGGTCGGGTTTATGCAGGTGTGGTTTATGCAGGTGTGGTTTATGGAGGTGTGGTTTATGAAGGTGTGGTTTATGAAGGTGTGGTTTATGCAGGTGTGGTTTATGAAGGTGTGGTTTATGCAGGTGTGGTTTATGAAGGTGTGGTTTATGCAGGTGTGGTTTATGCAGGTGTGGTTTATGAAGGTGTGGTTTATGAAGGTGTGGTTTATGAAGGTGTGGTTTATGAAGGTGTGGTTTGAAGGTGTGGTTTATGCAGGTGTGGTTTATGAAGGTGTGGTTTATGAAGGTGTGGTTTATGCAGGTGTGGTTTATGAAGGTGTGGTTTATGAAGGTGTGGTTTATGAAGGTGTGGTTTATGAAGGTGTGGTTTATGAAGGGTGTGGTTTATGCAGGTGTGGTTTATGCAGGTGTGGTTTATGAATGGGTGTGGTTTATGCAGGTGTGGTTTATGAAGAAGGTGTGGTTTATGCAGGTGTGTTTATGTGTGTATGCAGGTGTTATGCAGGTGTGGTTTATGATGAGGCAGGTGTGGTTTATGAAGGTGTGGTTTATGAAGGTGTGGTTTATGGAGGTGTGGTTTATGGTTGGTTTATGGTTATGGTGTGGTTTATGAAGGTGTGGTTTATGGAGGTGTGGTTTATGGAGGTGTGTGTTTATGGAGGTGTGGTTTATGAGGTGTGGTTTATGCAGGTGTGGTTTATGCAGGTGTGGTTTATGAAGGTGTGGTTTATGAAGGTGTGGTTTATGAAGGTGTGGTTTATGCAGGTGTGGTTTATGCAGGTGTGTGGTTTATGCAGGTGTGGTTTATGAAGGTGTGGTTTATGAAGGTGTGGTTTATGAAGGTGTGGTTTATGAAGGTGTGGTTTATGCAGGTCTGGTTTATGCAGGTGTAGTTTATGCAGGTGTGGTTTATGAAGGTGTGGTTTATGCAGGTGTGGTTTATGCAGGTGTGGTTTATGCAGGTGTGGTTTATGCAGGTGTGGTTTATGAAGGTGTGGTTTATGAAGGTGGTTTATGAAGGTGTGGTTTTATGCAGGTGTGGTTTATGCAGGTGTGGTTTATGAAGGTGTGTGTGGTTTATGGAGGTGTGGTTTATGGAGGTGTGGTTTATGGAGGTGTGGTTTATGAAGG